TTACTTCCCGACTCTGCTGGGAACACAGCACAAGTGAAATTGTTGGCACCAGAGTTTTGCTCAGATTGTAGGGGCTTCCAGACCCACTGGAAACATGACCCAGGAGGAAAAAGTATGAAGACCAAAATAGGACTGTAGCTCTTTCTAGTTGCGTATTTTATGAGACAGACTAGGGAGTATACCCTTGGTGTTTCTGGGCCAGTTTCAGAGCTGCTTCAGATCTCCGTGTTCTTGAAAGTGGCCGTGATGGTTCAGGATTCTGACTTCGCCTGACACACTCAAGGGAGAGTGGTGTCTCCTGCGCTAGTCTCACACCACCAAACAGCTGTCTTTAGTTTTTCCCCATCCAAGACTCCTCTGGATGATCGTGTGTGTGTGTGTGTGTGTGTGTGCGCGCGCGCGCGTGCTCGCTCACTGCAGGATTTCCACAGCCACTTCTTGTTTCCATGAAAAGCAGAGGGAGGGCTCCTTCACATCACAGACCTAAGCCACCACCCCACTGAATGTCAGTCCTTAATCTAGCCATAACTTCTGCTTTCTTCCCTAGCACCACCACTCAGGCATCCCTAGCTAGTTTCCATTTCATCCCAACACTAGCGTTTGATGCTATTTTTAGGGCTGCTTTTCGCAAAGTTGGTGGGTCTGCATTCTGTTCCCACTTTGTGAGAGCGACCGAATTCACAGGAATAAAGAGGGAACAGTGGAGTCCCCACTGACCCACAGATGCTGGGCCCTCTTACAGTGTTTGCAGAAAAGCTCAGTGGCCGCTCACCCCAGCACCCCTGCCACGTGGTGGAAGGGTGCGGTTCCAGTTTGTGTCTCCACCACATGGCACGTGAGCACCTGGCTCAGTCTACAGATGCAGGGTCTCCTGTACAGTCAGCCGCTCCCACCACAGGAATGACCTGCCCGGCTAGGTGTAAACCCACGCACAAGTTCTTCGTATTAGAAGAATTAGAATGCAGTAAAATGCAGCGTGCTTGATACCAAAACTATGTGAGCAGTAATGGGGTTGGTTTCGTAATGTCAGAAGGGGCATCAGAATTAGGCAGTGTCCTGGTTGAGGCATATACATACCCGCTGTAACTTCTCTGAGGAGAGGGTGCAGAAGGGGTGCAGAAGAGAAGCCCAGCAACTCTGGCCACCCTCCTGTCCCCTGGAAGCTCTGTATGGCATAGGGTGGGGGGGGTGGGTAGGGGGGTTGAGTGTCTTCCTCCCTGATCTGGGGGCAGGTGTGTGTCAGGCCACGGCGGAGAGTGCCAGGTGGTGTAGATGTACATTGGCAGAGGCAGAAAGAGAACTTGCCATTTTCTCCTAATTTCTCAGTTAATTGCTAAGGGCCTTTGCAACATTTTTAATATGTTAAGAATCTTTGAACAGCTGGCAGGTACCGAATAAAATAATGGAAGTGGTGGGAAAGTGCATTCTTTTGATGAGCTAGTTGCTTCACGTTGTGCCTGGCACTGGTAGGTGCTCCGTCTTGGTCCCCAGGAAGGCAGCAACATGATAGTTTCTTCCTCAGCGGCGGTGTAGCGTGGAGATAAAGAGCACAGACCACAGGGGTTCAGATCCCAGTTCTGCTGCTTTCTTGCTGTGGAACCTCAAGCGAGTTCATGCCTCCGCGTCCTTGTCTGTGAGAGAGAGTTCTGCTAGGATCCACCCAGGGTTGTTGTTAAGAATTAAATGAGTTAACGCAGAGACAGCACTTAGAACAGTGCCTAGCCCCTCTTGTTGTTACTAAAATGTATTATCATTGCCAATGGCGGCGGCAGCCATGCGCAGCTCCCCACAGGGCTGGCCGCCGTTCTCCATGTCTAGCAGCTATTCTGGAAATATTCCTGAAAGCCTCTTAACTAGCCCTGGATTGCTAATCTAAGGTCCCTTTAGCTGCCATGTCACTCCCTGCCACATAATCAGCTGTTCCTCAGCTTGTACTTTGTAGGTTTTTTCTTCTCTGAAGTCTGCCACTGGGCAGCTGTCTCTGTCAAGTTTCATTCTACTTCTAAATATAGTCCAGCTAATTTCTGCCCTGTCATCAAGTTCAAAGGCTGTGTGACTTAGAACAAGAATGGTGGTTGGGAAGGCAGCCCTCATCCTATCCCAGCTTCATAGTCTTCTGACATTTTGTCGTCTCTGAAGGTAGAATGTAAAAAACAGCATTGCAAAAAGACGTTGCTTCCAGAGCCCGGCGCAAGGGTAGATCGGGGTTCCTTTGCAGAGCAGACGGTGAAGGTGAGGCGATCCCTCTGCCTTGCCTCACAGCCACATTGACCAACTGACAGGTCCGTTAGTGGTGGAGGGTTCCTGTCAGCCTCTACGAGGCTGACCTGGCATTGGCGCCGGGTGTAATTGAATGCTTCGGGAAATTTGATTAAAATGTGAAAAGGATGCTTCCGGGTCATAGAGCTACAAAGGCTGTCTGGCGTTACACGAAAGGCAGGACCAGTTAGTTGTCCCTGCTGCGTTAGCTGCAGCTGAAGGAACAATTAGTGTTACATTCAGCCAGGAGACTTGACACCCCGTGTAGCTAGAGTGTCGGCTCTGATGTAGGATAGGTCAGTCCGAGTCGGACGCTTGCATGTCGCCTTTGAGAAGGAAGTTGGGGTTTCCCTAATGCAGTGGCCTTTTTGTGTTGCTCTTCATACGGTTTTTATGGAAAGGAATTACCAGCGCACTGTTTTCCTGAGAAAACCAGATGGCTGCACTGCCACGTTCACCAGGGCCTCAAGAGATTTGTGCCGAGCTTATTAGCAGTTGCCGACCTCCTAAGAAAAACTAAGAAGACCTTATCTAGAATGCTTGAAACGCGGGCTTGTGATCTAAAGAGCCAGAACAGGCAGCCCATGTGTGACTTTGTATTGATCCGTCATTCCCTGGGCGGCAGCGGCTCGGCCTCGTGTAGCTCGCCCCATTACCATCACAGATTTTCACATCCGCTTCCAGTTGTGTGCCGGAGCCACGTATCCCCCAGCGAAGTACGGTTCCAGCTTGGAGAGGCTTCATCACAGCACTGACACAAAAAGACAAACAGAAATCTGACTTGCCATGTTATCCATCCAATAAAAAAACCACCCAAGGGTAGAAGAATAGATATTCATCACGTCCCAGCAACTCAGCCAAGCCTGGGAGTTCAAGTGCAATATTTCTAGGTGGATTTAGAAAACCTTTCCTTGGCAAAGCAAAGAGCTCTGCTTCTGACAGCTCTTTTCACCAGCGGGCCAGCCTGTCTGCGTTAGAACAAAGGGAATTCTGCCCGTCTGATTTGGGCCAGATAGTGGTTTTCTACTTCCCCAGCGGTTTGCTGTACCATTGTGGAAGTTTGAATACTTTTCCTAAGTTAAGCAAAACTTCCTCTTCATTCTTCCTGCATTTGCCTTTATCTGCAGTCAAGCTTTGGCTGCTGAGGCGGCCTTTGCCCTGGTTTAGCATGAGCAGAATAGTAACATTGGCTTGAAAAGAGATTCAAGAGATGATTATGGGATTATTCAGTAGGCTTGTCACCAGAGAATTTATCTGTTACAAAGGGCATGTAGATTTTTTTTTTCTTATGGAATTTCTACTTTAGCAACCGTGTGCCTGTGTGTATATTACAGCATCTGCAATAGCTGAGCTTTCAGAGAACTTTTGTTCGTATGTCTTGCTTCTTCCCAGTATCTTGTTTTTCCAGAAAGTTCTTTTGCTTAACGAAGGTTCTCTGAAAGGGCAAGGGTTCGAGAGCCTTACCCGCAGTATAAAGTGAAAAAGACCATTTCAGGGAAAGTGTGGTTTTATTTGCATTTCAGCAGGTAGGAGAAATCTACTAAAAATGTGTTCCCTCTGCATTTGGAAGCTTCAGCTTCCCCTGTGTGAGGGGAACATGTTTTTATCTTTCTTACTGAGAAACAAAGGATGGACTTAGCCACATTTTTTTGGTTCTGCCGAACTGCTCTGAGCTGGCAGTTAGCTATAGTAGCTAAGGCACTTTGATGAGTGCCTTGGGGTTACTCTTATGCATAATTGTGGCAATTCTAATATTTAAAGGTGAACATGGTATGATAAAGAATGAGCATTCACATGTGATTTTTTTTTTTTTTTCAATGTACATGGTGATGGCAGCAGACATTAATTCCATCCGTGGATATTTACCATGTAGCTGCCATGGCCCAGCACTGACTTAGCTCTATTTATTGAGTAAACAGGACAGAATGGCCCCTGAATCACAGAGCTGACAGTCCAGAGGGGAGACATAGTAGTCTTCTTCACATGTCCTTGTTGAGCCCACCCAGGCGATTGTTTTCACAGAGCAAGAGGAGAGGCAGGGTTAGCTGTGTCTAGTTTGGCTCCGAAGGTCCGGAAGCCACTGCTGCCTCCATCAGCTGTGTGGTCTGAGTCGGTCACATGTGCCTGGGTTCTTCCTCATTTTGGAAACATTTGAGAACCATTTCTGTCATTTTGGGGATGATGTGAAGATGAATACAGTTACGATCCACTTTTGGTTTTTCAGAGGTAGAATATTCTGTCTGTTCCTTCTTCATTTACTTCTTTTCCTGCCTTCTTATTCTCACAATCACTGGGACTTCCAGCAGAGGATAGGCCTGGAAAGAGAAAAGACAGTGAAGTGAAGCCAAACTTCATGGGCCCGAAGATGAAGGACGCAGCTCAAGGGTAAAGGGTGTAGGGTTCACAGGGCTGACGGTGAGAGGGCGGGTGAGTTTGGGGGACAGTGGATTTCATTGCCCTCTGGTTCACCAAGCCAGGCTTTTGGAAATATGTTCATTCCTTTGACAAAAAGCTATATAAAAAGCGCCATGACAGTAGTAGAAGTCAAATACTTGCTGTTTACTGAAAGTGATTAGAATTTTCTGGTGGCATTTCCATGTTTAGGAAAGTACAGGTAGGTGTCTCAGAGGAGGCAGAGGGTGACAGTTTCAGATTTGCCTTCAGAATGCTGATCTTTCATTTTTTTGGAGATATATATATATATATATATATATATATGAATTTTTTTTTTTTCTTTACAGAATGAAGTTGGCCTACTGGAGTTCTTCCAGAATGTGATAAAAGAAACTAGGGCAGAGCCAAAAAAAGTAACTAGTTGGGTCCTCAACATTTTTCTGGGTTTTTTAAAGCAACGGAACCTTGCTGTCAATGAGAGGTGAGTAGGGTCTGGGGATTCTTTCTTCCTTTATGATGAACTCTGTGTCCAGAAGCAGTTTAAGTAGGGCAGGGCTGGTGTTTTGTTCTCCGTCGTTCCCCTTAAGATCTCCTAACAAGACACAAACACCCTTGTGAATTCCATATTCTAAAGCTATCCGCCATCACCTCTGAGATTTCATTTATTTGTTCCAATCTCTGACTGTCCGTACTGCCCTTTGTACCATTCAGGGCTGGGGGCCTGAAGATGAGTAAGACCAGGAGTCTACAAGCTGGTGGGGAATACAGATCTGTAAGAAAACAGACATTCACCTCAGTGTGGTCCTGTTAGGCCGGAGGCACACAAGGTGCCATGAATGAACACCAAGGGGGCCTGGCCTGAGGCCAGAAGATGACAAAGGTTTCCCGCGGAGGATATGCTGGAACCAGGCCCTGAAGACCTAGTGGGAGTTGCCAGGTGATGGGAGGGATGAGGGGATTCTGGGTAAGGGAGTGGCCATTGGACACTCAGAGACGAGCAGGCATGGAGGCTTAGGAAACCCAGAAACTTCGGGGTGCCAAGGGGGCACGCAGGAAAGCTCAGGAGAAAGCTGCAGAGACCACCAGAGGCCACCGTGCAAACACTTCTGTCAGCGGCTCTCAAAGCTATAGATCTCCAGCACACTCCAGTTTCACTCGGAGGGGTGGAATGAAAGAACAGACCAGAAGCAAGGAGCCTGTTGCCAGAGTGCCAGTAAGAAATGCCATGGGCCTCAGCTGAGGTAGGTGGGAGAGCAGTTATCTCACATCGCATGACTTCCAGTTCTTACTCGGACAGCGGAGCGACATGGAGGATAGTGTTTTTCAGCCTGGCGAGAGCTAGAGGAGGAGGAATGAGTTCAGAGGGAAGGGGCGGGGCAGGATGCCATGTTCCATTTTGGACGTGCTGAGCTGGGCTGCCTGTGGGACAGACATCCCCCTCACGGGCATAACCAGGAGGCAGGCAGATATATGATCTACCACTGACAGGAGATATCTGGCAGGTATAAATCCTAGAGTTCTCATTTGTTCGTTATTCAGCACATGTTTATTTAGACTCTGTGCAAAGCACTGTGCTAAGCATGGGAAGATCAGTCAGCACACAGATATAGTCCCTGCTCTCTGAGCTGACAGTCTAGAAGCTGGTGATTAGAAAGCAGTGAGCTAGCAGGTGCCCTGAGAAGGCGAAGGTAACAGCTAAGCTAAAGCCTGAGGGAAAGATGAGTAAGGTTAGTCAGGCAAAATCCAAGAAGTAAGAGTGTTCCAGGTATAGGGAATAGCACGGGTAGAAATCTTGAGGTAAGTTCAGGCATCATACTTCTGGCAATGCAAGTGCATAGTCCAGTATGGGTGGAACATGGATTTCGTGGCTTATAGATGGTACTTGAAGTTGTTAAAGCAGAAGAGAACTGTCAGGGAGGGTACGGCCTGATAAGATGGCTGAGGAAGGAGCCGGAGATGCTCTAGACTCTTAAGTGAGAAGCGTGGGCAGAGAAGGAGGCAGCCGAGAAGAAGTGGCAGAGAAGAGGAAAAGTAGGACAGAGTTAGCACCACAAAAGCCTAAGAAAAGGAAAGTTTCAGGAAGGGAGGAGCAAGCAGCAAATTTAAATGGGAGAAGGAGGGAGAGTGAATTCATCAGGAACCCCAGGCTGATGGCCGGGGCCTGGCAGGGTCCCGGTGGAAGGGGGAGCCCAATCTCAGCAGGTGTGTCACTTGTCTCAGCAGCCTCCCATGGCCACGGAGAAGTGGAGGAGGGGGGACAAGCATATGTTGATACGTGATTCTGAAAAACTATTCCCTCAAAGGAGGTTAACACCATACAGTGCCAGTTTCACATCCAGCCTCTTGCTTGCAACGTGTATATGTATGTTGTAATGTGGCATTTGGGATCAATTCACTTCCTCACTTAGCTCCTTACCACCAGTGGCCTTGGATGAGTTCCCCTCTATGACCCTCCATTTCTTCTCTATGAAACAAAAATGACAGTACCTGCCTCCAAGGGTTTTTGAGAGGAAAATGCACAGTGCCTGGCACATAGTGAGCCCTCTGTGTTAGTTTCCTTCTCTTTGCCAGGTCGGTATACCAAGTACCAAAACAGTGGCCACCCTCAGTCCCCTAAATTCCTGTGGCATCTGTGGCCTTTTTGTCGTTCATTCCTGTCCTTTCAGGTTTGGCCTCTCTTCAGAAACTCCACTCTACACTGAAAATATTGTGGCCTTCAGTGAAGACTGGAACCATCTAGAAGAGTTTATGGAGGAGATACAACTGTATCTTAAGAATGGCCTTAAAGAACGGATAGGATTTGGTGAGGCAGAGGTCTGGGAAGCACTTGTAGGGAGCCAAGGGTGGAATGGCAAAGAACTGGCATGTTTTTAGACCGAGGAGGAGCATAGCTTACAGGAGCAGAGAATGGAAAACGGCAGCAAGCACTGCTTCCTGTATGGTTGGAGCAGGGCTGGAATCTGAGGGTGTGGGAAGTCACAGGGGAGGTTAGCTGTGAATCCAGTAAATACGTGTAGAGCACCACTAAAAGGACCCCATCCAGGCCCTCAAGGAATTCTCCGTCTCCTGGGGAGGACTAGACTCATGCATCAGTATTTTATTTCAAGACAGAAAGGGGTGCTTCCTGTTTTAGAACTATACACAGTGCAGTGAGAGCAGAGAGGAGGGAGATTGATGTTGGCCAGGAGAACCTGGGAAGGCTTCAAGGTGCGGTTTGAGCTTTTGGAGGAGTTACCGATCTGATCTTTAAATGTATGGTTTTCCATGTTATTGGCTGTGATTCTTAAAGTCACTGACTTTTCTTGGCAGAGACCTTAGATAACCTTTGGTTCAGCTCATTCCTTTAGCAGACAAGGTGGCACACCTCAGGTGGTGAGCTGCTAAGACTGGAAGCCACGTCCCCGGACTTCTGAGCTAGTTTCTTTCTATATTGGTCTATAAAATTAGGGGTTTGCTCGACAACCATGTTGGTAGCTGTTAAAGGAGCTAAGGTTAATAAATTAGCTTGTCAAGTGCACTTGGAGCCCCTGGTATTTACCCAAACAGTTCATATGCACTAGAGTTTTAAGAACCCAAAGGGTACCCCGTTCTAAATAAAAGTATATGTAACTGTTCCAAAAGCAGGTAAAGAGGAAGCTAAACAATAGCTCTATCACACAATTTATGTAGATCAAGAGCCGAGGATCCAAAACCAAGCTGTAGGCAGCCTCTTTCTACACAGTTCAAAGAACCATTAGCTGGGCTGGATACACCAGCCTCACCTTGGAATAAACAGTAATTAGCGCACAACTCAGCTGCTAGGGCTAACATTTCCAGAGCTTAGAACGGCCGTAGCTGCGGAGCTTCGCAGTAGTCTCATGATGACCCCAGGCAGGGAACACTCTGGAGGTCAAGTTGGTAAGAACTGATTTTGCAAATTAGCACTCATCTTTAAAGACCTGTCATGGTGTTTAAAGGGTCCAACCAGAAAAGCTCTTGTTGAAAAGCTCTTGTTGAACTCAGCTTTTTAATTATTTTGAGCATATTGCTTTGAAAGTTGTTTTTCTGTTAACTCCTTCTAAATCTCTATTAATAACAGGTTTGATGTAATTAAGAAAGTGGAAATTACAGATACCCTGGCCAAGCATTTCGTGGTGAGATCAGGCAAGCCCCTCCATCCAGTTGTCCAGTCTAGTTGAGTGCCCCAAACTTCAGGTCAGCCAGGGGCAGCAGTTCCTGAGGCACTAGCAGATCAGGGCAGGCTTTTGAGCCAAGAGGGGCTTGATGGTGAAGGGAAGGTAAGTCCAGCAGTGTGATGCATGGGATAGCATCCAAGTGGGGCTTCAGGGTTCAGAGCCTGTTAAAGATCATTCTGGCGGGCCTGTGAGCGAACAGTGCGTATGACTTCTTAAACCAAAACAAAGAATATGTGACAGAAACCATGTGTGGCCCACAAAGCCTTAAATACTTACTCTCTGGCACTTCCCGGAAGAAGTTTGCTGACCCCTGGTTTAAAACACGTTTGGTGAGAGCTGGTTGAATCTCATGGTGGAGAGAATTGGACCCCGAAGAAGCAGCGGCAGTCTTGGGAACAGATGTGCTTCCTTTCCCTGGCAGCCTGAGGTGGAGGCAGAAGACCATGTGGGAAAGAATGCTGGCCGGTGCTCATTATCGGGCCAGGAGTGAATGAGGGACAACCAGGGAGAGGGAAGAGATGGGAGGCCCAAGGAGAGGAGTTTTCACAAAGGGCTTTAAATGTAGCCCAGAAGTCAGGGTGCAGCAGAATGGGGAAAGCTGTTATGCTTGGCAACAAGCGAGGAGGGGTGTGATTTTTAAGAGAACATCCCCTGTAGAGGGGAGGATTGGTGCTGGAATGGCACATGCTTACGAGGACAGATAGTAGCCACTAATGCTAGATATTTATCCGTAAAAGTAAGGTAAGAGACCAGGCTTGCAGACTCCGAGATCACTTGCAGACATTTTCAAGATAGGAAGATCTGAGCATTTGTGAGGGTGCATGGTTAAAGCCAAGAGAGAGGAAACAAACATGCAGACGGGATCTGCAGGAGTGGAAAGTAATGGGATAAAAGCATGGGTTGAGGGGTTTGTTTGCTGGAAGAGGAGGAGGAGGGCATGATAGAAATTTCTGAGTCGTGCATCATGAGCTGCTGTCCTTATGAAGTGAGAGGTGGGGGCAGGCGCTGAGAAGGGAGGTGGGAAGAAGATGCCGTGGCTGTAACAGTTGCTTTGGTGGGGCCACCGGATAGGGGTGTGGGGAATTCATCGAGAGGAACATAAGGATTATTGAGCAGCAAGAGCCACCTGGATGTCCAAGTCCCAGTGTCCTCCTCCAGGAGCTTCCTGTGTCCCATCTTAGCAGAAGTAGAGAAGGTGGACTTTGGGCTTGAAATGGGTGCAGAGATGGAGATGGGCTGCTCATTTCTCTGATGCAGGGAGGGGGTAGGGATGTGCAGTTGTAGAGGTGGCAGTGCGTCTGCTCCCGATGCAAGCTGGAGGTGGTGTCATGACCCTGAAAGAGTGCTAGCTGGACTAGAGGAAGTGGGCAGATTGGAAGGATCCCTTTGTACCTACACTGGCCTCAGGGGATTGGAAGCTGGCATGCAAAGCTTAAGCGTTTAGGTGTCAGATTCTTCTTAGTGGAGACACATTCACTGTCCAGAGACTGGCATCTGACAGCAACAAATCAGTAGCTTGTGCCTCGGCTGCCAATATGTTGCAAATCTGATGATAGTTTATTTATTTAACTGAGGAGTGGGGTCTTTCAGGATCCGTGTGACAGGTACTGATCTTTGTCATTGTCGTATTCAAGGTTAGCCCTGGCATATCTGGAATTAATGTAGGCGGTATACCAGATAGATATCCCTGTTGGTAGGAAGAGTTCTGTGACACAATTTCTTACTGACCGACTGTGTGTCAAGCATTTGTGGGTACAGAAAGATGAGTGAGAAATCTCAAATGCTGTTAGGTCAGTGGAAATGTTTTATGGTGTACATTTATGACCTAACTAACGAATTAAGGTCATTAGATGAAAGGCAAAGTATTTTTAGTTACGTCGTGTTCTATTTCTATTCTCCATCCCCATGTCCCTTATATCATCAACTCATATGGGAGAAGGGACCTTTTCTTTTTTTCATGCTCTAGAAATCCAGTTCACCCTCAATGCTTATTATGGGTTCTATACACTGTCTACACTCTAATCAGCCACTGTATTTTCTAGGATTGCAGAGCATCCAAGGAACCCACATTTTTAAAACAAACTGATTCTTTATTACTTGTCAGTAAGGTAGAAGGCTGGAAAGGGGGTTTATCAGTTTATTTCCCAGCCCTCTGTCCCTCTTGCTGCTGAGATTTAATCAGGGTGATACACAGATGTTCCGAATGCCAACTTAATAACACCAGACAGTCTCCAAACTTAATTTCCACTTGGAATTACCTCTTATCCATACTTTGGGATAAACAAAGACTTTAAGGATGATGGTCTGCCTCCGTGTGTCAGCTGCTTCGAATGAACAACCCTAATGAGGTTTCACTGTGCTTGAATCAGAGTCCAGTAAGTCAGAGCTGGTAAACTTGAACTCAGTTGGTTTGGAATGCATGGAAACTGGATGGGGGCTAAGTGGCAATTTCCTTTTTATTATCTAAAAGCACGCAAAGAAATTAATTGTGATTGATGAAAACTAAGACAAAAGGTGTTTTCAAGTGGCGTTAAGCACTTCAAAAGTTTTAGTTTATACAGACATACTAACGTGCTATTTATAAGTCATTCCTATTTAAAACTAGTCCTCTAATGACCTCAGATAAACAGTGTTCTTTTAGCTTAGTTGCTGTATGTGTTTAAAAGTAGCAAAATCAGGGGTGCCTGGGTGGCTCAGAGCAGTGGCTCTTGATCTCGGCTCAGATCATGATTTCAGGGTCGTGAGTTCAGGCCCCGTGTTGGCCTCTGCCCTGGGCGTGAAGCCTGCTTTTAAATAATAAGATAGCAAAATCACATATTTTAAAAGAAATAGTCTAGGGGCACCTGGGTGGCTCAGTCGGTTAAGCATCCAACTTCGGCTCAGGTCAAGATCTCACAGTCTGTGAGTTCGAGCCCCACATCAGGCTCTGTGCTGACAGCTCAGAGCCTGGAGCCTGCTTCAGATTCTGTGTCTCCCTCTCTGCCCCTCCCCAGCTTGTGCTCTCTCTCTCTCAAAAATAATAAACATTAAAAATCTTTTTAAAAATAGTCTATAGTTCAGTGTTACTTTTCACTAAGTCACATCCTAAAGGTATAGATATAATGGATCCTGGGCCCTTCTGTGGTGAAAGCTCTCAGAAAGCTGTTGTGAGCCTGTGGAGGAGAACAGTGTCTGTGCAGATGCCCATGGGGACAGTTAACGAAGCGGATGGCAGTCACTGCACTCTCTTAAGGAAAAGCTCTTACAATTAAAAAGAATTTATATTTGCATAAAAACACTCAGAAAAGTAGCCTTGTTAGCTCTTTTGTTTGAAGTAATTTTTAGACTGATCTTGCATTCGAAAATATTTAATTACTGAGTGGTAGGTTTTTTGTTTTTTTGTTGTTGTTGTTTTGTTTTTCTCTTGTCATGGTTCATGAATTTTGCAGCCACTCCTTTTTTTTTTTTTTTTTTTTTTTTTTTTTTTTTTTTTGACTAATTAAACTGAGCAGTTGTTGCTACAACTTCTGCCAAACGGCCATTACTGTTGTGTGGTAAAACAACACTAGTCACCGAAACTTGTTATATCCTAACCTACAAAATAAATAAATAAAATAGAGCCCCATTGCCCTGTTATTTCCATTCCTGGGTGTGTTATTTAAACCTACAAAATCGAGCACTCTTCTTCTCAATGGGTGTATACTGACAGTGTGAAATGTACATTTATTTTTCTCTCCTTTTGGGGGCTGCTAGTCCTGTCACACCTTCTGTGCTGGCTGAGCTTCTCAACCTGCTGGACAGAAAAGTAATTTCTTCAGCAGCAGCTAAACAGGTATGTCCCCACTTCCTAAAGTTTCTGACTGCTCTGCTATTCCAGTAGATGTTGTATGTGAAATTCAAATGCCGTCACTAACTGAATTTCATAAAGTATTAAATGCGTGTAAGGGCTGTTTTCATACTGAAAAGGTAGAAACATTTCAGTTAGCAAATGAAAAAAGGCTGGTATATGCAATGCAGGTAGTGTGCTTTCCATCTTTGCTAAGCAGGTGGTTCCCGTGTGGTTTTGCCTGGAACGTTTTCCAAACATTTGTTTATGTGAAAGGCGGGACTGTAGCTTTTGGGGGCTTCGAAGCACATGCACTGCCCCTGTGACCCCCACGAGGCCGAAGCCAGAGCACCTTCAGCACTGCTCCCCGGCCCTCTAGTTCTTCTCAGTCCCCTGCAGGCTCCCAGCCAGTACTAGGGCCTTATTTGTCTTCATTGCATGATTGCCCCCTGAAATTTAGTCTTCCAGCAAGGAGGATGAGGTCAGACAGACTGCCTCTTGTTTAGTAGATAAAACTTTATACACATGCACAGTGTATGCAAACTGAGAAAAACAGCATCGTCATCAAAGGTGGCCTCTGCCTCGTCTCCTTTCCACCTGACAGTCATAGGTGGGTGAAAGGTTCCTGGAATCCAGAAAAGTCTTAAAGGATAAAGAACACCAAGGTGGCTGCCTTATTTAGACTTTGGGTATCAAAGCCATCAATGCTTCAGCCAGAAACTTAGTGTGACTTTAATGGTGCCTTCTGCATTTAATATTTATACCACATCAACAGTAGTGGCAGGCACAAAGTGAGGCTTTGGAAAAGCAACTGCTTTTGGCTAATTATGAGGCGCTGTGGCACTCACACCCAGCTCTGTGCAGTGAAACTGGAGACAGAACTAATAAAGTTTCTGTTTACCCACCGCCCAGTGAGGCTGTCAACTACAGGGCCCTTGGCACATGTAGGAAAGGATTTGAGTTGCCTGGATGTCAGAGGAATACAAATGTTTATGACAGTGCTCAGCAGTGACAGAAAGATTAGGTGGCCTGAGGGCATCTATATATATATATGTATGTATACATAAGAGCAGATGAATTGTAGCATTTGAAATGAAAGAAGGGAAAAAAAATCTTCCCCTTCTCACTCATCCTGCCCCACCAGACAAGGAAAAGGGAGGAAACCTAGTGCAGTGAATGTGATTGGTTCGGTAGGACCAATGGAAAATGCTAGAAGATGCTGATGGTTGGTTCAGATGTAGGTAGGGACACCTTAGATTGTATCAACTTTCAGCATGCTCAAAGGAAGCAGGGTGCATCCTGGCTGCTGTGAGGTAATCAAACTGAAATAAAAGTCTGACTAGAAAGGTGTTAAATGTATGTTGCATGAGGGAATCTCCTGTGTATATTATTGCCTTGGGGGTTTTGCTTTATTTATTTTTCTACTTTGTTTTCTGTGTTTAATAAAATCATGTATGATTTTCTGGTGGAAAAAAAAGGTATTTTTTCATTATAAAGAATTTAAGTAATATAGAAAAAGATAAAGATCTTCAAATTTTACCACCTTGAAATAACTACCATTAATATTGGGTGGACACCCTTCCAGGCATCCTTCCATGCACATGTACTATTAGAAGGATGGATTGATGGGATGGACAGACATGGAAGTTAGAGAAATAAAGACTTTAGAAAATAAGAAATAAGAGGTTATAGTGATTTTTTTTTTTTTTAGTTTATTTCTTTATGAGCCAGGCAGTTCATTGGCTTTTAGTATATCCACAAACCTATTCAGCCATCACCCTATCTAATTCCAGAACATTCTCATCACACAAAAAACCAAACCATTAGCAGTCATTCCCCCACTAACCCCTTGCCCTAGGTTACTACTAATCTACTTTCTGTCTCTGTGAATTTGCCTATTCTGGACATTTAATGTAAATAGACTTGTACAGTATGTGGCCTCTGTGTCCGGCTTATTTTACTTAACGTGATGTTTTCAAAATCCATCTATGTTTTAACATGTGCCAGTACTTCATTTCTTTTTAAGGCTAAAGAATATTCTACTGTAAGTATATGCCACATCCGTAAATGGACATTTGAGTTGTTTCCAGTTTTGGGCTCTTATTGAACATGCTGCTTTGAACATTTGTGTTCAGATGTTTTTGTGTGAGCATGTGTTTTCAAGTTAGTTACGTATAGACCTGTACGAATGGAATTTCTGGGTCATATGGTAGTTGTACATTTAACATTTTGAGGAGCCGCCCGACTATCTTCCAAACTGGCTGCACCCAGTTGCATACCCATCAGCAATGTATGAGGGTTCCTGTGTCTCCATATCCTTGCTAGCACTTGTTATTGTCTGTCTTTTTGATTATAGTCATCCTAGTAGTAGGTGTAAAGCGATAATCTCACTGTGGGCTTGATTTGCATTTCCCTAATGACCAACTATGTTAAGCATCTTTTTGTGTCTTTTGTAGGGTACTTTTTTAAAAGGAAAATGTTACAATTAACTTTTTACTGAATTTTTAAAAAGAATCCAAGTAGGTCTTGGCTTCTAGAAACCCTGTGAGCCAGAGGGTGCTCCAGTAGAGCAGACTCTCTGCTTCTACTCCTTCTTGGTGTTTCCCTCTGACGGATTGGGGTTCTGTTAGTGATTAGATGACCAGGAGATGAGGAAAAAAAAGTAGACAAAGTAACTGACTCCTAAGGATGACAGATATGTAGAAAGAGCCATCCTGTCCTTAGAACACTCTGAATTCCAAAGAATCTCCCACTTTATGTCTAATTTACTATTAACCCATCACTCTCCCTTACATCATTGCCCATTATTTCATCCCTTACACATTTCACCGCCCCTTCCTTGGAGGTACTCCGGCAGTGCTCCTGAGATTTACAGGCCTCATCCCCTTGGCACCCCAGGGGCAGGGATGTTGACAGGTTGCTATGATGCAGCACTCCTGTTTTTCAGAAACGGAAAGAGAAAAAGATTACTTATCATCATGAGCAACCTCCTGGTAACTGTGGACAAAAGCATCTCAATTCTTGTCACAGGATCTAATTCTAGCTGTTGAAGTTGTGGGTAGCGGCCCCTGTCTCCCTCACCAAGGAGAGGGCCGTCAGAGTCACGGTTCACCTGCAGACCTGCACCCCGGGATCCTGAGCCTCTTGTGAGTCAGAGACCCTGGGTGTTGTCCACAGCCAGCCACAGCCCCAGGGGAAATGGTGTGGACTGTGTGCATGCCTCCTTTGTGCACACTGGAAATAGATGTGGCTTATCCACTGTCTCTTGGGGATTGTCCGGTTAGCATTTCTAGTGGAACCAAGCCAGGTTATGATTCCATAGCAATGGAAATTGAATTTTAACATGTTAGGTGTGCCACTTAACCCGTCTCCTCTTGTCTACTTTGGGATCTGCTTTAAAGAGAAATCACCAACCCCTTTTAATGCAGAAAATGTTATATGTAATGCGGTAAAACTGTTACAAGTGATGTGATGTCTTTTTCTCCCTTTTAGTGAGTGCTTCAGTTCTATGTGCATTTTACTGTGCCCTACTTCTTTTCAGGGCTTGGGCTGATGTTTGTGCCTTTCTAGAAGAATGACCTTTCACAGTTCTTGCCTTTGAGCAGAGGGGACACCCCTTTCTGTTCCTGTCCCGGCCCCCTCCCTACCTTCTCCCTTCAACAGGCCTTTCCTCCACACTCTGACCCTGGAAACCCCTGGACAGGTGAGAGGCCCAACTGCTTTCCTTCCATCCTTCCTTCTAGATACTTTAAAAATAGCTTTAGCGAGACACAATTGGGTAGTAGTTGAAAGGGTGTGTGAATTCAGTCCCCAGGGAACTTAAGGCTGCCCTATGTGTCGGAGCCAGCTCCGTGGTCAGTGTGTGATTGGGGGTTCCCAGCTTGCGTGACCCCATGCTTTCGGTGGCCATTTAACACAGACGGCCAGCATTACCCTAAGAATCCTGTGTTAGGGACTTGGATCTTGGGTGGGCAGCAGCAGGGCCTGGGAGCTGCACTCCTAGCCAGAAACAGTTGCACTTCGATAGCACTTCCCAGGGTGGTGATTAAACACAGACAAAAGCTGAGGATTTATGCTGCAGCACGAGGCTGGCAAGTACAGAAGCCATTATGTTTGCAGCAAGAGGGCTGGGGAGCCCTCGAGTCTGGCCTGGAGGTGGAAGGCCCCTTCAGTGATTCTCACCCTGCTGGGCTTCGGCCAGGAGAGCACAGACTGTGTCTCAAACAGGAACGAGCAGAGGATTAGACAGCTGGAGTCTACTGCATCGGCCCAGGGGGCTGGGGCTGGGCTGCGGTGGCCACTCGACCAATTGAGGAAGTTAATAAGCTGGTATGTTTTCACTCTGGGAGTAGAGAACACCCCAGACACAGGGCTCCCATTTGTTCCTGGAGGCCGCTGAAATGTTTCTCCGGCGTCACTCTGTATCCCCGCCCTACCTCGCTCTACTTTCTCGGGGAGCAGCCAGCCCCTGCATTTAAAAGTATCCATCCCAGCACTGTCTTGCGTTTCCTCTTGAATGGTGTGGTTTGGCAGCGGTTCCCGAGCTGCCTCACATCGCCTCTGTTCTGGTGTTTTTGGCTCAGGCTCATCCAACCAGCGTTCGAGCCTGTCGGGTCCCACTGTATTAGGTGCCAGGCAAAGGCTGAGCCCCTGGTCAGCCTGCTCGGGTCCGCTGTGTGCTGTCAGCCACGGTGGCTGTTGCGGGCCAAGAAAAATGATGCAGGCCCAGGAGCGGCCTCCTGGGTCAGCCAGGTGTGCCAGCTTACGATTCCCAGGCCCCAGGGACCGCCCACGTCTGCTGATCTTTCCACCTCATCTGCCTATAAAGAGGTGCTGCATAGATTCCTGAGTCCTCACAGGTGATTGCACTTTTGAGCCAGGGATCTAGATCCCTCTTGAGATTTCCACATTCTCCTGCTGAATGTTGGACATTTTTTAGGCACTGTTTTAGGAGACTGTGCAGATGAACAAAATAAACACTGGTCAAAGTCTAAATACTTACCAGA